CTCTCTTCTCCTTCTAGGATCCTTATAATATGACCATATTATGCCTAATGCTGACACTGAGTTCCCCAAGTCTATTTTCATTCTTTATTGATTTTTCTCTCTCCTTTTCAGCTTGATTTCTTTCCATTACTCTGTCCTCCATGCCACTGATTCATTCTTCTGCTTCCTCTGGTCTACTATTTATTCCTCTTGTATTTTCTAAAATTTCAGTTATTGAGTTCTTCATCTATGATTGGTTTTGTTTTATGCATTCTGTCTCTCTGTTAAGCATCTCAGTGAGGTCCTCCACTCTCTTTTCAAGTCTGATGGGTATTGTTTGACTATTACTTTAAATTCTTTATCAGGCGTATTGCTTATCTGTGTTTCATTTAGCTCTTGGGCTGTGGTTTCTGTCCTGTTCTTTCATTTGGGACATATTCCTCTGTCTCCTCATTTTGTCTAACTCTCTCTGTCTGTTTCTGTGTGTTGGGAAAGTCAGATACATCTCCTGTTCTTGAAAGTAGTGGCTTTATGAAGAAGAGTTTCTGTAGTGTCCTGTAGTGCAATGTTCCCTGTTCACCAGAACCTGGTGCTTCAGGGGTGTCTCATGTGTTTTGTGTGTGCTCTACCATTGTGCCTATGCCACTTTTGCCTTCAGTCCAGTAATATGCAATGGCTGTCTTTCCCTATTGTGGGCAAGGTTTGGTCTCTGAGTGCTTATTGGGCCAACTAGGGGCTGCCTTGGTCTTGGGTTGAGTCATACCAGATGTTTACCAGAGATGTGGTGGCACCAAACTGCTAGGCACTTTGGGGATGGATTCTTAGGAGATGCTGTTGTCTCCTAAGGTCTCCACTGCAGTCTTCTCATTGGAGAAAGACAAAAGGACCTGTACATTTTTGCCAATGTGAGGACACATCCAATATAGTAATATTTCTTATTTGTGCATCTGCTTCAACTGAGCATCCCACATAAGTGGGATGAATCCTGGCATGATAGAAACTATGTGTCTCTTACTTGACAGTGCCTAGGAAGGTGCACCACAGGGACAATAATGCATCAGTTGCCCCAGGAACATGTTTCTCTGGCCTGTGATCCTTCTGTTTTATCCTTAATCCAGTAGATGTGCTTCGGGTGTCAGCACAAACCTGAAAATGGCTCGTGAGGTACTGTATTGCCTCCTATTGTGACACAAGCACTATACAGCTATTAAGCATGGTTTCATTTAAGTTTTGGTGAAAAAAAGATCCCTGAGTTCATTTGGGAGATATAATAAGGATATATAGGTTTTAGTTTCAGGTTTCTCCACACAACTCTCCTCTCTGGGTGCAATGCAAATGGAAAAACTGTGACACTGCTTTCAAGCTGCTGAAAACAGTGTGCCCACTCAGATAGGCCCTGATATAAAGGACAGGCACATCCAGGCTGGTTCCCTGTAGTCAGACCTTGCAGTTCTCACACCTGGCCTCATGCAAGCACAAATGTTGAGGCATAAGTTGATTAATAACTCATGCAATTGATTCCAGTCTAGCTCTATACCAAGGCTATCCCTGGCCTGATGACTGCATACTCCCAGGAGACTTGCCTTTTACTCTTAAGGATCTAACAATTCAGTTTTCCATAGGCCAGGCAATAAGGGAGGGATGGAACAGTAGGCTACAGTCCATCACAGACTATCCATTTCTAAAGTTGGAGCAAGATTCTCAAAGTTGGATTGGTTTTTATGCATTTCTAAAACTACTTAAATCCTAGCAATGTCATCTGATACTTGAAACCCCTACATCTGAAAGTTCTACTTTGATGCAAAGAGAGAAATTTCTAAATGAAGTCAATTTTTAGATGAGACCAGGACAGGATAAGAGAGAGAATCCTAGGGCCTGAGGTCACTAGAGTCCCATGCCTGACTTATCATTAACACCCTAAACATTTCCATGTCTCATGTCATTCCTGTGTCTCTTTATCTCACCATAGGCCAAATTTTCCACACAGAAAGTGGTGCGGGTTTTTCAGGGCAAAGTTCCTGCTGCTCCTTCTTTACTGCAACTCCCTCCTCCATAGGTGTCCAGGACCCTAACTTGTGCCCTTATGCCCACCTGGCAATGTACTTCAGTAACTTCATGTTTCCTTTTAGAATGAGGCTGTGTAGAAATACACATACATATATATCTTCCCTACTGGATTTGGTCTTTGGGAATATGATTCCATAAGATTTTTAGAGAGTTGAACCAGCTCAATCAAATTGGTTAACAGCTGCTTAGACTACTACACTTATTCTTAGGACATCTGACCCTTATTATTCTTTAAAGCTAAAAGAGAGACTTTTGAATGGTAATAGTTTAGGTGTTAAAAACAAATAAGAAGAGTTTTATTTCTCAGTAAAGGAGCCTGACATTTATAGGTAATTTTGTTAGACTGGTCTTAAATGAAATAGAACAATGAAATCAAGAATATCAGAGCAAGAGGGAGGTAAACCTGTGAAAGGATGTTATTTTTTGAGGAGAGAAAACAGACCCAGACAAATGAAGTGACTTGACAAGCTGCAACAGAGGCATTCTTTGTCCCCCATCATTATTTCTGCCCTTCTCTCTTGATATGTAAACATCTGAATCCAGACTACATGTTCCAGCCTCCCTTGAAGCTAGGTGTGGTCATATGCAGCTTTGTTTTCTGTAGCCAATGGGATATGAATAGTAGATTGTGTTTGACCATCTGGAAGAGTTCTTTCCATTCACCTTCTTGCTAGTTGAAATACTGACTTGATGGGTAGAGATAAGTAATCACCTTGGACCTTGGCACAGAAGTTATGTGCTCTCTAGTGTGCTCAAGGATGGGCCTCTGGGTCTCTGAAACATGGATTTCTAGACTGCTTTCTAAACTTTATGTGTGAGAGATGTAAAAGACTGTCTCTGTTTTAGCCACTGTTGTTTTGAAATTTTGTGTTACTCTCAACCATACCTAATTTAAACTGCCATATCAGTAGTCTGGAAAAGTTTTAATTAATTCACATTACTTGATGGATAAAGGCAGGAAGAGTGAAGGACAAGACCTGATTCTAAGTTTAAGATAGAAAATGCTTTAAATACTTTACATCAAGGGATCTCAAATACTGATCCACTAACAGTTGCATAAAAATTACCTGGCACAGGGTCCCACAAGACCAGGTTTCTAGGTCCCTTTCCTGGAGATTATGATTTAGTAAATTTTTCTGAGTCTCATGAACTTATATTATTAAAAATCTTCCCCATATAATCCTGATATCCAGGTACATTTGGAAGGTATTTGATCCGGAATTGTTCTTTGCTGAGGAGATGAGTCAGAACCACCAGAAAAAAAATTTTTCTCCCCCAAACATAGATGCCTTCATGGACACATGAGAAGGAGAGATTGGGGGAATGGGGGAGAAAAAATATTTTAATACTCTGAGTTCTAAAATAAATGATTCCTCGATCTCTGGATCCCCTCCTTTTCTCCCTGCACCCACCTACAGTCATACAAATGTCACCCTAACAGGCCACTCTCTGTCAAGTTAGCCTTAGTTCAGGGAAACCTACAATGACATAACTGTATATGGCTAATGGGTTTTTTGTTTTTGTTTTGTAACAGAGTACATTTTCTATGGGAGGTTTATTCACTTCCAATGTGCATGACTACACATCAATGAATCATAAGAGTATTTGTGATGAAAAGAACTACCATTAAAGGGCAGGAGGAGTTCAATTTTTAGAGATTCCAGGGCCTCACACATCAGAGGTTGAATTTTTTGGTACATACAAAAACCTGCAAGGTCAGCAGATTCAGTCAAACAGCTGTCAACTGAAGTTGTTCTAAAAGCACTAGGGCACACCAGCGGGTTCTCCTGGCAGCAAAGGTGACAGGCACGGCAAAGTGTTACCAGAAGGCAGATTGTGGCAGGCACGAGACATTCCCAACAGCAGTGGATAGAACAGGATTATACTAAGCGGCATGTCCACACCAAAGTAATCCTTTTACAAGATCCCCCTGCCTCCCACCTCATATTGATAGTTCCAGGCTGCTTGGCAGCTCTGCTCTCCCACCTTCATCTGGGAAGCTAGAAAAAGTCCCTCCACCAGAAGGAAGCCTCCCATTCACCAGGCCATCTGCAAATCTCAGCAGAAATAAAATAAAATGGAACCAGAGACCCACTCTAAGATAAACTTTGAAAAGAATGCCAAGGATAGCAAAGACCTAACTGCAACTGGGTCACAAACTAACCCAGTTGCAGTCTGGGTAAGTCACTCAACTTTTCTAGTTTTTAATTTTCTCCTGTGTAGAATCAAGAAGTTGAACTTGATGAACAATGAATTCCCTTTTAAGAGTTGCACAATTTTATATTTATCTTATATGAAACTGTATTATGTGAAAGTAAAAATTTTCTTCTATCAATTATATATTTGCTTTTATTTTAAAAAGATAAAAATCCTACATCCCAATGTAGAATCATCAGACAGATGTGCTCATCCTTCAGAACCTGAATTTCTGGAAATTGTTTCTTGGTCACCTAATCCCCACAAACTGATGGCAACCTTTGTTCCTGCCAAAAGATTCTATTATGTAAATATTTAGCCTAGGCCTTCTAAACATGCACAAACATTTCATTTTTCTAAGTAACAACCTCCAGAGGACTCAAAAGATACTAAATCTAGGCATTTATTGACAGCATCGCTATGGGATCTTATTAATAGGGACATCTATGACCTAACCCTATGCTTCCTGAGGGTCTCCTCAGTTGAGCAGAACTGCAACAAGAAATGAGATGAAACCCTTTTATTGGTTACTATTATTACAAAGTGTTCTTGAATCTGTCATAGTGCTCACTCCAGTTTAATCCTTCCCCTTCCTCAGGTGACTCTCCAGTAATGAGATCTTTATTTCCTGAGCCTTCCAGCTAGTCCTGCTATAATGTGTCTTTGATCTGAACAAATTTAGAGGTCATAGAGCCCCAATGGATGAAGTGCCAATGGAATTTAGGGAAATGGAGATTAAAAAAAAAAGCCAAACTTACTTCATCTACATGCCCCACAGCTCCATAGATTTTTGCCATTTGTCCGATGAGGTAGGGGAATCTCTCACCAATCTCTTTCAGCATTGGAAGGAAAGTGTTCAAAGCCACAGGGTCATAGCCTGCTATCTCTGTGAGGACGTTTAGGATGACATCGCTATGAGTTGAGTCTTTCAAATGCCTAATTAGGAAAGGAATACACTTCTGAGCCACCTACAAAAAGAAAAGAGAGGGAAAGAGAAACAAGGAGGAAAATTAGTTAAATCAGAAACTATCTAATATTCTTTGTGTGAAATCTAAAGTCTGGAAATTGCCCTCACTGGAAATGAAGACTATCCCCCAAGTCTGGAATTTAAAATTTGCAATAAACTTTCAGAGACTTCAGTTTCTTTTTTCTTTACATCTGTGCTCTGCTATTAAAGAGTGAAGTTTACAAAAATGTTTAGATGCTACTATTCATAAACCAAGTTTTGATGCTTTATGTCCTCACCAGGAGTATTATATTTCCTCTAACCCATGATGAGAGCTGTAACTTAAAGGGCAATATGATATAAGTACATAAAAGATCCTCGATGACTTTAATGAAAACCTTCAAGTTGGAGAAGTATGGCTTGGACATACTTAATAATAAAAATAAGAAAGTAGGAAAGGGTTTTACATTTTCTTCAATTTTCCATTTTGATCGCAAAAATGTACTAAGACAAAAAAGATGACCAAAGTAAAATAATTTCTACCATATTCCTGATACCCTCATATTGCTTTCTTGTGAATATAAAGATGCAATAATTCATATTAAGGAAAATGTGACTTTTATGTAATAAAGTCACTATTATTAATACACAGATATGTTGCACATTGACAATTTAATGAATCGTTTTGTCTGCTAAAATAAAATAATTAGAAAGGACTACATGTGGAGAACTAAACCATAAAATTAAAAACAATCTTCCCACCCACATGTCTACTGTGCTGATTTCCTTTGGTTGATGTTGGTTTACTCTTTTGGAGTGTTACTTTTTTGGGTAAGGTCAAGTTGAAATGTAGCTTCCAGTATTAAAACAGAATCTGATACTCAGCTCAGCCTGCTAAATTTATAATCCACCCCCTGCCAAAACCCTACTTCTTCCACTTCCCTCTCTAGCCTCAAGTATCTCTTTTCTCCATAAATGACACCATTATCTGCCTGGCTACTCAAGCCAGAAATCTGGGAGCCACTCTTGACTGCTGTTTTTCCCTTATGAGCAGCCTCATCCAAGCAACCGCCAGGTTCTCTTGATTCCACTTCCCAAGTATCCTACAGATCTTTCCACTTCCCTTTGTTTTCATTCATTTCTCCACTCACTCTTCCCAGATATCCATTGAGTCCTCCCCGTTTGCAAGGTAATGTTCTAGATGCTGGTGTTACAGCTGCTAATCAGTCTGACGGGTTCCTGCCTTTGTGGAATATTTCACTGTCTAGTAAAGGAGACATTTGGTAAAACAAGTAAGTACAAAGGAAATGTGTAGCCACAAATTCTAACTAATTCTAGGCAGGGAAAGTACAAAGTGCTATGAGAGACTGTCCTGGGGCCCTACTCTAGGCTGGAGCCAGGGAAGTGCTCTCTCGGCAGGCACATCTAAGCTAAGACCACCGATCCCATCATCCTGAGCTCACGTTATTCCAACAGCTTTCTCACTATTCTCTCTGCCTTCAGTCTTGTCCACCCAATTCCTTTTCCGCTCTGTGGCCGCGATGCCAACACTTCCCCTGCTTAATATACTTCACTAATTCGCCATTGCTCTCAAGACAGAGACTCAACATACCTTTTCTGGGCTGACTCCTCCATCTTTCTAGACTGATCTTACCTCTTCTACTCTCCCCCCTTTCAGGTCCCATCACATACTTCAACCATGTTGATTTTTAAAAGAATTTTTCTTGAACTGCTAAGTTTTCTCTTGCATCTAGAATTTCACTCATGTGATTAACTTTGCCTATAATTTTTATTGCCCCTATTTTGCTGGACACTCCTCATTCTTGAGGCCTCAGATTAGCTACTGTTTCCTTTAAAAGCCTTCCTCCACTCCTTTCTCTTCCCCTTCAGTCTAGTGCCCTGACTGAGGCCCCGACTGTGCCTTAAGAGGCTCCCAGCAAACCCTTCTCAGGCTTTCTTCATGTTACTGGTTTAGAAGGATTAAAAACTCTACAAGGTCAAGATTCAATTCTAATTTGTACTCCACTGTATACCCAAAGCCTAGCACAGAACCTGGCCAGACAACGTGTCAATAAATATTTGAGGAACAAATCAAAGGAAGACAAATCTAAATGATTTTATAGAGTAGCATGGGATATGCTTTATCCCATAGCATGAAGAGTTGTACATATTTTTTTTAAGATTTTGTTTAATTATTCATGAGAGAGACACAGAGAGAGAGGCAGAGACACAGGCAGAGGGAGAAGCAGGCAGAGGGAGAAGCAAGCTCCATGCAGGGAGCTCGACGTGGGACTCAATCCTGGGACCCCAGGATCACGCCCTGGGCCGAAGGCAGATGCTCAACCACTGAGCCACCATATGTATGGGCGTCCCTGTACATATGATTAAACGTACATATTGTCACATGTCGTATACAATATAAATAACAGGGACATAAAAAAGACATTTTGAGATGACTAAAACTATCCTACATATGAATTTAAACTTGATATTCATACCCAGTACTTGTGCAGGAAGGGCCAGGGCTAGTCTCTTGTACATGGCTCATATGAATGAACAGTCCCATTAATGCTGCGTGTGCATCTGGGAGCGGTCGTATGTCCTTCAGGAGAAACCACGAGAGATCCCTGGCACATGAGGCAGAAGTGTCAGCCAGCTGCTCTGGGTCGGGGCAGCGTACTTAACCTGAGCCTTTTAGGAATGGAAAATGCTTACACATTTCCTGCCCCATTCTATAAAATTCCATTTCCTAGTCCCTGCTTTTCAGGTCCTATTCCTGGAACATGAAGGTCTCTGTGACATGTGCTTCCAGGCATGCCAATTTTATTTAAACTCCAGCCATACATCCCAAGCCATGCAAGAGTATATTGTATCCATTGTCCCATAAAGGAAAAGAAAAAAGAAAAAAAAAAACAAGCAAGAAAACGAGCTGGCTGGCAAATACGTATGCTTAGGCAGATTTGAATCCATAGAAGCAAAGAAAAGAGAAGCTTTGTGTAGTATAACTAAAGTAATTTTGCCAGTTAAACAAAAGCTGATTATTTTGTGATTTCCTGATAACCCAAAGCTGCTTATTATGGTGACAGGAAAGACAGATATTTCTTGAAGTTTATCACACACACACAAAGGCAAGTGGTGCTTTGGGCTTTAGACAGATTATTCTTGGATAAGAAGGAATTTTATTTTCTACACACAAGGCATTTCCTTAGGCTGGTCTCTTTGGGGTTGCTTCACTGGGAGCTGCTGCAGGTCTCATCACGGAGAGCAGGGTAGCCACTAAGGCAGCAGAGATGGGTGGTGGAGAGCAAGCTGACGTGGCCTTTGTTAGCCTCATGACGCAGACCTCTGAAAGAGCTTCCCAACTGGCCTCCTGGCCCCAAATGTCTTTCCTTCTGTTTTGCTTCGTTGTCCTAAAACCCCATATAATCACGTCAAGGCTTCAAAGAGAGCTCATGGCCTACGGCTGGAGTCCCGATGCCATGGCATTTGCTGACGGGCATACCTGCTGCCTCCCACCGTGAACTCTGACCCGGGGACATACCACTAGTCATCCACAGCGACTTGAACACAGAGGGCATGCTCATGCTCTCAAAGCCTATTTCAAATGGCACTACTTGTGGGAAGGCTTCCCATGGCCCAGCCTAACACACGCAGGACCTGGGAGTAGAGGACAAATAGAGGTCGCCACGCCGCACGCACACTCAAATACTCAGCAGCTGCTTCTCTGCCTGACACACAAACCTTTATGACAATCTGGAGGCCTGATCTGAATTTTAAATTTTTGGTCTGCTTAGAGGGAACAGAGAGAAATGACCTTTAGGCCCCATTCCTTGCCCTCCTTTTCTCTTTCTACCCCTGGCTTTGCCTTGCAAGGAGTCTCATAAGCGTGCATGAATACCCCCGCCCACATGTGCAAGCTCATCCGGGACACTGCTCAGGCCTGTGGGGTCATACCGTCGGAATGGCCTGTCCTTGGAGAACAGATCCAGGGCCAGGCCTGTTGAAGCCCAAGAAGGAGGAAGGAGACATGTGCAAAAAGAATCCCAAGGTCTCCGTTACCTGGACTACATTTAGTAGGCGACAGAACGTGTGGAAACGGGGAAATCCAGATGGGGCCAGACCAGACCCTGTAAGGGAAGTAGCCCAGGGACGGCACGTACCCCTGGCTTCTCCACACCGTCAAGAGCAGAACTCATCACTGCCGGTTTTTTGTGCTCCCCGAGCAGTCTCCTGACAGGTTTAGCATCTTATTATTGAGCTGAAGTTTTGTCAAAGCTTCTCATCACCCCAGGCCGCAGGGACCTTGAAGGTAGGGCCATCTGAACACATCGCACCATAACTTAATTGCCAGCAAATGACATTTCAATTCTTACGCGTAAAATAAAGGGTAGAGCTGCCGTATGCGTGCACCTGTGTGTGCGTGTGTAGTCCTGTGCTCCCTCTTAATTTAGTCCTTAAGCTCGATTTCCTCCTCTAATTAATCTGGCCTGCATTAACAACCTCTTTAAATCTCCAAAACTCTATAAAATAACTGCCATTCTTCCTTTACTGATTACTCCCACCAGACTGACCAAATATACATTCCGAAAACCACAGTTCTGCTCCAAAGACTGTTGCAGGACGGTCTACATATTCCATCACTCCGTCTTCTTAATGTTCTGCAAATGGCTTCTTATTTTAAGTAAATACCAAAAGTGACCTCTGAGCATTGTCAGCCGGACGATGCTGTGTTAGGTGCTGTAGGATTAGGTATGTGAATAGGAATGCTCTAAGCTGCTGAGAGAAAATCCAAGAAAATGACTCTATCCTCTAGGGACCAGACCACAAAAGCAGTACCTCTGGCTTGGGACATTAATCAACAGAGGGCTGACATTGCTATTTGCTGCCACTCATCTCTGTATGGTGGGGGCTAGAGGCCCAAGTCCTGGGGATAATAACAGATGGGCTCTTATGTGTTACCATTCTGTTTCTTTTGTTGGCTGGACTACAGCATGGCTTGTGGCAGCCAAGAATCCAGGCTGA